GTGTAATCGCCAGCGAGAACAATAGACGACCGTTTCTGTTTTCCAGCGGTATCATCGATTTCATCTAAAACTTCATAACATCGTTTTGGCGGCCTTTAACAAGCAATAATTTCCACGGGATTTTCCTAGAGCGTCAATTTCCATTTGTAAATTTCAACTTGTTTACAAAACCAACCATTTCTAACTGATAACGCTGTCTTAACGCAGAAAAAACTCCACGCCTCTTGTTTTTCTATCTCTTTGATATACTTTATAGCCGGAGCGTAAGATTTCAGAATTAAGCTACGTCATCTGATAACCACGATCTGTCCCTATCACTATATCGGCATCGCATGAATCAACTAGGTTTCCAAAACTCAATGGTTTTATTAACTATACTTCGACAGTTTACCTGCACAATCTTAGAAAGCCATTCCTCGCCTGAAATGATCCCGTCGCCGCCCCGTCGCCGTCTCCGCCGTCACACACTTCTCCGCTGAAGCTTCCGTCACCAGTGCGAGACCAGTAGAGACCACTGAGCGCCGCGCGCCCCTCGGTTGAGGTGAACGCTGTCCCGGCTAGGGCGCTCTCCGAGATCCACCGTTCGGATCCACAAAGATGAACCCGAGCGCTTTGCCACATAGTCCATGTCGCGATTCACCTAGCGACTTTACGGGACCAAACATCCCGGCGGCGAATTACACCCCTAAGCGCTATGCGGCGATGGAAAGCGCTTTTTCGCTGCTACCCCAAGATCGTAGATCTCGCCTGTGAGGTGGTCAAACGAGCGACATTCCCGTAAATTATTTGAGCCTCCGTGAATGATAACAGTTTCCGGGGCTTCCACCTCGCTTGCTTCGATTTGTGATTTCAGTTGCTCCACGCGGATATATAATATGCCGCATAGATGTTAAAATATGCAATTTAATTGCAAATACGTTCAAACACGCATTATGCATGAATTTCTTCTCAAAATATGCAAACATTTTAAAAATGAGTATGTCATTAAAATATATTTATAAAGATTGAAAGCTCTAGGAAGTGTAAATAAAACCACGCATTTACATGGCAATCCTGTCTATAGTTATAACATAACAAAATATTTGCATGATAAAATATTGTCTAAGACTTCCAGAGGACTTACGGGTTGGACACAGGGAATGTGATGGACAGTGACGACAGTATGTAAAATTATGCAAGTGAGCTGCAATACAGGAATGATTTTATAACTATTTTAATCAAGTCATAAAAAATATTTGTAACAACCATTCAGTTTAGATAAACCAGTAATATAAACTTGTATGTACTAATTGTAACAAGATAAATTTCAGGACCAAATCAATCAATTTTATAATAGGGTCTCACAAGAGCAGTTCACTTGTTCTAATTCAAGTGATTGATTTTTGTTTGTTTTTTGTTTTCAAGAACACATATTCTTTTGAACTTTGAATAATGTTCTTATTAGAAAAATAAATATTCTTTAAATATATCTCAATAATGTTAACTTGATTTCAAGTATTTCCCACTCCCAATTATGAACATTTAATAATTTTATTGTTTCTGACCCTACATTACTTTTAGTAGGAACTTTCAGATGATTAATTATACATTATCCTAAAATGGCTCTCCTACGGGCTTGATGATGACTTCATGTATCTGAAAATAGAGAATAGCAAAGTATTAAAGCACTATAAAAGTAATTTTAAAACGGAGGATTTACAACTGAAATTTCAGAAATTTTACAAGGTCCATAATGTATTTTTAGATAATTATAAAGGCATTATAAACGCCCTTTTCTGTTTGCAAGAAATTGTTCTTAATAGGGAATTTTACGGCGCAAATGATGACGTATTAGCACTATACTGCACGAATGATTGTGTCATCACTAATTCAGCCAATCGCAGCGACAGAATCGTGGGGAGGTACAGATAATCGGAACAGCCGACCATAAGTTTCTCGCACGTACAACAAATACTCGAGACGTCACAAGAAAGTTGTTTCGAAAAAATAAATTTGATTCGCTTATAAATTTATAATGCTGTTATACCCTGAAGAGCCAAAAAAGCTGGTACACCTGCATAATATAGCGTAGGGTCTCCGCAAGCACGCAGACGTGATGCAATCCGACGTGGCGTAGACTCGACTAATGTCTAAAGTTGTGCTGGAGGTAACTGACACCACGAACCCCCCAGGGCTGTCCATAAACACGTAAGAGAGCGAAGGGTTGAGATCTCGTCTGAACAGGGCGTTGCACGGCATCCCAGATGTGGTCCATAATGTCCATGTCTAGGGAGTTAAGTGGTCAATGGAAGTTTTTAAATTCAGAGGAGTGTTCCTGGAGCCACTCTGTAGAAATTCTGGACGTATGGGCTATCGCTGGAATTGCCTGCTGGAATTGCCCTGCTGGAATTGCCCTGCTGGAATTGCCCTGCTGGAATTGCCCTGCTGGAATTGCCCTGCTGGAATTGCCCTGCTGGAATTGCCCAAATCCGTCGGGATGCATAACGGACACGAATAGGTGTAGGTCGCTGACTGTCGCCTCAGAAAAAATGAAACGAATTTCTTTTGGACCAAACCCTGTATTCGTAGTGTCCCTTCAAGGTCACGAACTTGGAAGGAGAGCGGGACATACTCATCCAATCAAGAGTTGTAAAACCAAAAATGTAAGTCCTAAGCTCTGGATTGGATGAGTGTCACCCTCTTTTTCCAGCTGGTGATCTTGAGGGGACACTACGTTATATCGAAGTATACTCTCAAGATGATTCCCATCAATTTAGTGGCGGCGATGGTGTAACAGTAAGCGTATCGGATTGTTGTACTCAAGTTGGCGGGTTCAAAGCCGTGGATTTGTAAGGGCAAAAAAATCCGTCGTACGTCTTCCTTCGGATAGGAAGTAAAGCCGGCTGTCCCATGAAAGTAGATTTACTTGCATGTAAAAGATCCTCAAGCCAAAATGATGCTTCTGAGCTAAATTCAAATCGCCTGTTTCGTCCCCCAAGAAATACCTCATTTCTCCGCTAGTTGGTGAAAGGTGCGTAGCGAAATTTGCGTGGTCAGACGGAAGAGCGGGCCTCATGGCACCAGTTTCGGCACATAAAATAAGGCATCAATTCAATTGAATTCAATTCAATTCAACCATCGTTATTGTTTTGTTTGCCTGGTCAGACGGAAGAGCGGGCCTCATGGCACGAGTTTCGCCACATAAAATAAGGCATCAATTCAATTGAATTCAATTCAATTCAACCATCGTTATTATTAAATCAACGTGCAATGCACTGACCTGCACGTGGCTGGGCGCAGCCACAGCGTAGAGCACCGCGCTCGCCACGTCCTCGGGCAGCAGGTGCGGCTGCTTTGCGATGACCTCAGGGGCGATGCTCATTGCGTCGAAGAAGTTGGTCTTCACCATTCCAGGGCTCACCTCCTGGAACAGTTTTCTTTCAGTTAATAACTTAATGTTGTGTTGTTTTTTGTCTTGCTTAAAATTAAAAATGCAAAAGAGGAAGAAATTACATATTCAAACTCAACTGTAATACAAAATTCGAAATATACTAGTATATTAAATAAATAATAGAATCTACCACATCTCTAAAAGAATCTACGTCAGTGGTTTGCTATCGTTATTATTTGTATAATTTAAATAACTATGTATTGCGTAGATGTCATAAAATTCGATGTAAAAGAACACATGCTTAGAACACCTTGAAAGACTGATCTGTATGGGTCTTAACATTTTGGAAATTTGTACGGGTAACACGGGTAACACGTTAACACATTTTAGTACGTATATTTGTTGACACATAACCTCTACAAATTAGTGCCTGTGACTGGTCTGGATATCAGGAGCATCAAATGTCACATTAGCCTTGCCATCCAGTCTGATTTCGCCTTTTTTCTAGAAATTACATAGTTATTATATAGTTTTAGACTTGACAGGGCTGTAATAATTGTTGCAGCGCGAGGACTATTGTTATAAGTCATAGGTAGTTTGTAAACATGAAAGATGATATACTACTGTCGGAATCCCATACCACAGTGGTATACTGTTGTCACGATTACTAAATGACTCATGATGAATTAGAAATAGAGAAAGAATATATATATATACACAAACGTCTCTTATCATTATTTTTCATCCAACAAAAAAGTCTAAATGTATATTTCAAAGTCGTATGGTTTTGTTAATGTTTAGTTATTTTCACGCCATATTGATACACATCACAAACACGTTGAGATTAAAGTACTTGTTCAGAAACCTTTATGAAACTTGTGGTGCTTAAAAATATTATTTTGACTCGGGTTACGTATGAAGCCTTCAAAATTACTTGCGTTACACGAGTACAGCATGGTAACTATGTAAGAAAAGTAGTAAACACCCCACAGAAATGTTATCAATTTGTTAGTTTTATTATGAAGTTACTCTAATTCTCTACTACAGTAACAAATATTAATGTAAGAGTTGTACACTTTTATGGTAAATAATGAAATTGTGTGAGATTGATACACCATTTTTTTAAACGCGTATACGCAAGCATTACTGCCTCGTCCAATAAAAATCCCACTAATACTGAGCCCTTCAAATGAAACGTGGGCGGTTCCTACGCACCGTGACTCTGATGCGTGACTTGGCGGCCACCAGCTCCTTCCGCAACCCCTCCGTCAGCACGCGCACGGCGTGCTTGGAGGCGAAGTACATGGACTGCTCGCCCGAGCCTAAGGGATTCATGTGGCCGGCCACGCTGGAACAGACGCCCATACACACTACACATTTGCACAGTTTATGATTCAGTTTTGCAGTTTTATGATTCATTAACCCCCCTTGTGTTCAGTACCAAAAGGTATTGGATTTCTAGCCATCACACATTTTTCGGGTGAAATGATTACGTTCTCTTGGAATGTAATTTTTAGAAAATGTAATCCAGATACGTTTTAAGACTATCTTAAAACTTAAAATTTTAAAAATTGATTTAATATTACACACATGTACTCGCGAGCAAATACAAGAGCTTAAATTCACGACAATTTAAAATAATACTATTGCAATTTAAAATATAACTACGCACTTAAGAACATACTACCTACCACCTGCTGTCCGGCCATTGTAATGGCCTATACTGGGACCTCAAGTGGAAAGGATTTCAAAAAGACTAGTGTTTTTCGTAGCACTCAAAGGACCAAATATGTTATTTTTGGGATATTTTAGTATTCGATCTCTATGATTTTCTTGAAAAGTCGTATTCATGTTTTGAATGCCCACTCGCTTTGATGATTTTATTTTTTTATCAATTGGCATGTCATTTACCACCATATTTTGTTAATTGTCGTTCATTTGTGAAAAGTAAATTAAATTATAATGTCTAATTCTATTGTCGTTTTTCCATCCTAAAAGCTATTGAGTGAGAGAGCCGTGTATTTAAACTATCCAGGGCTTCGAAAGGAATAGTTTTGTCACTGTTATGATAATGTTCAACATCGGAATAATCAAAATATTAACACCGCATTTCTATCCATTATCAACAAAATATTTAAGTGCAAGTAATATACAATTAACTTTTATTGTGAGAGTTAATACATTTATTTTGAAAATAAAATGATTAATTCCATTATTATTTTATTATTATTTTATTATTATCATTATTATCATTATTATCATTATTATCATTATTATCACTATTATCACTATTATCATTATTATCATTATTATCATTATTATCATTATTATCATTATTATCATTATTATCATTATTATCATTACGTGTTAAATCTGGATGCCCTGATCACAACTTGTTGAGAATGAGAAAGCTACGGAAGAAAATATCAAGAAAGTAAAACAATTTGAAGCGGAAAAGTACATCCCTCCATTTTACAGATGGTTTCAAGACATTCTAACTACTATTGATTGAAATGATATTAATATCGAAGGAATCTGATAAGTGATTGATTAATTGATGTTTCCCAACACATCGACCGCTTTGGACATTACTCAAGGTATTGGTGTAGGGAATGCTTATCCCAGGAAGTGACAGTGTTCTCTCCCCACTGTTTAGTGAAATCGGACACCGACCCACACGTCAGATTGCGCGATTGTTTTGCCCTCTAGCTATCTCCCTTGTGGATCCCCGCACAAGGCGGAAAAAAAGCTGTAAACTCGCGACTAGTCTTGGCATGTAAAGAAGTGTAGTCTACATGTAAGGAAAGAGTAAGGATAGGTCAAGGATGAAGAAAAGTTGCGTGAGGTTGGTACGTTAGAGTACTGCTCCGGCATGTGGCTGATACAGATATGTAAATTCACGGAAAACTACCGATCAGAGCAGTTGACCACCGGAGTTCTGCTCCAGGCATCGACTGAATTCGACCTAGCACTCTAGCTCATGTCAAGAATCATCTGGTCCCAAACCCTAGGGCCTCCCGGCTACAGCCACTTTAAAGTCAGCGACAGTGCTGGCACTCTGAGCTGAACTAAGTCGCTGAATCGAATGATACATTTCATGCCCAACAATTAGTATTACTATATCACGTTCTTTTGTTATTAAAGTCGCATCAACATTTCGGTCATTGACGACGGCTATTGCATTTAACGGCACGATAACTGTGAAGATGACACTATATGATGATAATAGGAGGGTGAAAGGACGAACACAATACAACCATGCTGGAGGTGGGACTCAAATCCGCGATCCTTTGGTCCGAAATCACTACGGCACTACCTGCCTTAGCAATCTCGGCCATCCAGACCGGCACTATAGCACATTGAGTGACATAATATGTTGAAAATGTCGATCGATGGAAGGATAACAGTATGCTGATATTAGTTATCGCATATGTGCTGTAGCACTAGATAAATCACCGATGATGATGAGCTCATGGCATATAGGACTGAAGTATGAGCTACTTACTGAAAGTAGTATACATTACTGCCATATATAATCTGAACAACCGAATAGGCACCAGATGCTGGTGCAGTTAAGCGATTATTAAATTACTTTCGTCATAAGCACAGAGAATAATTTATTATGACGTATCACTCACTTGGAAGGATTTGTTTTTCTCGATAATCCATGTGTTTTGAGGCATAACGATGTGTAACGATTGAGTGTTTTTCGGGAGCGGCCAGGGCGAGGAAAAAGCAAACTCTCTGAACTGGCAGAAATGCATGATGTTATAAATGAGGGTAAGGAATGATTATGAGCAAAATGGAAGCATTTTCGTTTCGAACATATTGTGTTCACAAGTTCGTCACAGGATTTTCATTGTAAATCACGGCAGTATGGAGTGTTCATTCGTGTTTGGTTTGATTTGTCTCATTCAGATCTTTGTACGAATGTGAAATAAGTGCTATCAATAATGCAGTAAGAGATATTTGATGCTGAAGACGTTAATTCACCTGTACTGTAGCAGGTTACCATTGCCAATTGTCCCCAAATAGCAACGGGGTATCAGATTGAAAGTATGCGGTTTATTATTTGCAGTTCTCATTGCCGTGCAATGAGGTATAATTATGGATGACACTAAATAAACAAGCAGAATGCTTTGTATGGAGCTTTGTTTGCGAGATCATAGAGACAAGTATCAAAATTTACTCAGATGCACGGTAATGTGTTTTTATGAAAATGTCTACATATTATGCTACGAATTGTAGCAGTACTTCCTCGTGTTTGGGGAGTTGTTGCAACTTGTAAGCAGTAAGATAGAAGCCTTTAAATTATTTTTTTTATTTTGAGGTTGAGAAAATCTGTTATTTCTCAAAGAAGAATAAATCGACGGGAAGTTGATGAAAACGTAACTGTGACGCTCTGACGATTGAGACACTACAACCACCCTTTCCAAGCGCGTATTTGGTTTTCTGGTGTCGAAGCATCCCAGTCTCCCGCAAGAGACGAAATTTCACATCCACAGGGGCACTTACCTCCCAATGTGAACAATGTGTCCATCGTCGACTCCTTTCTCTTTCATCAGCTTCACTGCCTCGCGAGTTCCGATGCTGAGGCCCAAAACGTTCACGTTCAAAATTCTCTTCCATTCATCAGAGCCAGAGTTGGAAGCACCTTGGAACAATAATTGTTTACGAGTGTTATATTAAAGAACACGCTTTAATTCTACAGCCATAAAAATTCTCTCAGTAAGATCTTCTTTACACTGCTCCATCACTAAAATTATTCTCTTTGGGTTCTCGAACTTAATGAAGAGTTACCGCGTCCACGAAATTCCCAGCAGGTTAAGATAACAGAAACCTAACTGAGCTCACGTTAAATCCTCAAATAATATTTATTAATAAACAATTGATATTGTTAATCTTAATCCATAAAAATTGATGTGCATATGTATATGTCCCACACAAATATTTAAGCAAAGGAAGCGTTTACTCTCATATTTTGCAGGTATCCTTTTCATAGAACGCGAAACTGCTAGCGTTAATTATAAGAAACATGTAAATTGCGTTCAATATTTATGTTTGATTTATATCCAGTGGTCTCTTTAGTCAGATTTTTGGCAATACTTCGAACCAGCAATTTATTTACAAGAGAAATGCTCATATCACATTCTGTAGTTCACGTGTGCGAAGATAACATGCAGTTACATTAGATCGCACGATTGCCGATTTGAAATGAAAAAAATATTGAAACCATTTTCCTTCGTTAACTATTATTGTGTTATTACAAAACCAATAAGAAATTTCTCAAATCGTACTATTTATTGTGTCTTTGTTGCAAAGATGATTCGTGTCGACAAACAGAACTGTTCATCCGTTTTTAGTAGACGAGGGCATATCGTTTTCGTACAACAGAAAGAGGATAGGACCTAAGATAGAACCTTGCGGATTACCTGCGAGGCTGTGCGGCCCTCCGACGCCGGCGTTGTTGACGAGGATGTGCACAGCGCCCAACGTGTCCTTGACCCACTTGAAGGCGGCGAGGACGTCCTGCTCGTTGGCCACGTCGCACTGGACGCAGTGCAGAGCGCCCGGGGCGCGGGCGGCGGGCGCCGCCGGGCGGTGGCCGCGCTCCTTCGCCTCTCTCCGCGCCGCCTCCACCGCGCCCTGCAACGCGAACCACGACCTGCACCTCGTGAGGCGTTCAAAGCGGACACTACAGGGGGCTAAAGGAGATAAAAGGCTTTAATGGTGGCTAGAGACACTTAAGGTGACTAAAGACCCTAAAGGAGGCTAAATACACTAAACGTGGCTAAAGGCACAAAAGGTGGCTAAAGACACTAAAGGTGACTAAAGATCTGAAGGTGTCTAGTGATACTTAAGGTGACTAAAGACCCTAAGAGACCCGTGAGAAAGACCCTAAAGGAGGCTAAATACACTAAAAGTGGGTAACGTCAATAAGGTGGCTAAAACACAAAAGGATGCTAAAGACACTAAAGGTGTCTAAAGATCTGAAGGTGGTTAGAGACCCTAAAGGAGGCTAAATACACTAAACGTGCCTAACGGCAATAACGTGACTAAAGGCACAAAAGTTGGTTAAAGACACTAAAGGTGGCTAAAGATCTGCAGGTGTCTAGAGATATTTAAGGCGAGAAAGACCCTAAAGGAGGCTAAATACACTAGAAGGGGCTAACGGCAATAAGGTGGCTAAAGACACAAAAGGATGCTAAAGACACTAAAGGTGTCTAAAGATCTGAAGGTGGGTGAAGACACTAAAAATGGCTATGGTTTTGTTATAGATGAAGGTTATTAAAGATACTAAAGGTGTATGAGATATCTAAAGGTCACCCAAGACAATAAAGGTTTCCAAAACACTGAATGTGATTAAAATACTAAAGGTAGCTAAATACACTAATGGTGGCTAAAGACACTAAAGATGGTTAAAGGTACTAAAGGGGGCTAAAGACATAAAGCTGGCTAAAACACTGACGGTAGTGGAAGACATTAAAGGTGGAAGCATTAAAGATACTTAAGATGGCTAAAGGTACTTAAGATGGCTAAAGGTACTTAAGACGGCTAAATATCTGAAGGTTGTTAAAGATACTAAAGGTGGTTGAAATCTCTGAAGGTACTAAAGACACTAAAAGTGGCTGAAACACTAACGGTGTCTGAAGATATCTAAAGACATAAAGATGGAAAAAAATATAGGCGACAGAAGACACTAAGGTGGCTAAAGACACGTAAGATGGCGAAAGACACTAAAGGTGACAATATATTACTACTAAAAACAAATTTTCGCAGAATTGGAATTTAATACTTTCATTAATTGCATTATGCATAGTTTCATCATTTATCTTCTTTTTGGATTTAGAATCATGATTTTATTTATCGAAACTATGATTACAAAAGCTGGCAGTCGGCGGTCAGAGCTCTTCTAAAGGCGAAAGTGATGCAACAGCTGCTTTAGTGAACGCATGCGTACAGGGACCATAGTGCACATGCAAACATTCGTTAAAGCGGGTCTAAGGGTTTGCTTCAGTAATTCAACACACTCGACAAGAACATTGGCCTGTGTTGGGTCTTGACCTTGAGCGAATAGGATCCCCGATCCATTTTATCTATTACACCACACCGGCTTAGGTGGCTCAGGGCATCAATCGATGTCACTGCACTGCTCCTGATCTGGAGGTCTTAAAAGAGTTCGATACCTGCTGGTGGCAGAATTTTCGACACCGGCTACAAAGCAAAGTTGAATTCAGCTGCTATCAGGAGGAGGATTCTAGTGGCCGGCTGCTCTGATCTCACTCCACACTTATTCACACCTACACTTACATGCACACCACTACCACACATGCCGGGAGATCAGTCGGGAACGTAGACTTTGTCCCCCTCGCGGGAGATACGTTGTTGGGGAAGTCCCTGCAAGCCGACGGCAAGTCTGCGCCGGACCTCGCCATCCAGCGGGAGAAGATCGATAAAACGTGCTCTACTCTGACGGGGCTAGTGATCTTTGCAGTTGACGGGCCCGGAAACACCAATCAACTCATCAATGGCTTGATGTTGCATGCCCCGACGCATACAAAAAGGTGAATTTTTGCAGTTTACAGTTCTCAGAAGTTTTGCGTCAACATCAAAACTATGCCCGAATTAAACGAATCAGGAAAAAGTTTTTGTCACTATTTCTTTGAAATTACCCCAAAATTACTCATGTCTTAAACGAAATATACGGAATAATATTAATTGCAGATCTAATTTTAAATAGTGGATTTCATTAAAAAATCTCTACAGATGAAGAAATGTCACAAAAAGGTTCAACTTTGAAATTTGTTAAAAAATGAAAACATTTTACTCACTCGTTTGCTCATGGAGCATAAACCTATATCGTACCAGAATTGGTCAGGCGTTAACCAATCAGAACTTACATTCACCTGTAAGATTAGCAGTTTGAGTTTAATAATTCACCTCTTCCTTATTTATATTTACAAGAAGTTAGTTAGTTACAGTGAATTCATTCTTTACTTTCATCTTGTATTATTTTGTGCGCAGTATGATTTCATTATGATTATATAACCGTATAGGAAAAAGTAGAAAAATAAAAAATAAGTAATTCTTTACTAACCACAGCTGTAACCAAATAATTTTAGGCATATTACAAGAGCAAGAAGTAGCAACAAATATTGCAAATCCTCCATTTCTCAGTAATTATATTTACAAGAAACATTATTCTGACACAATAAACACACTCAGGCATTGTGCTACTTCTAGCGCAACCTGCACAGTAAAACAAATTGAACTTAATTAAGTTCTATCGAGTTCCAGTTTTCTGAATTTTGGTTTAATAACAGTGTTTAAGTTTTTTAATGCATATAAAAATAAAACTTTGTTACGTAATTTATAGTGATCACATGTAACTCAATCTTAGCAGTAAACACGCAGTAGGACAAGTTCGAAATCAAGTTGCTGCGGCACAAACAGGCAATGTTCGACAGAAAAACCCGTATTGAGCGGACATGGTATCAGAAAAGAGATAAAATGTTACTCCTATATGTAGAAAATTACTTCTTTTACGTGTTGTGTAATGCACGTTTTGTGGATCCTTGATACCGAATATTTGGTTGATGTCAAAACGTGTGTGTTCTTCGGCCTCTATATCTAGTCATGGTCAAGACTGATACCTAAATCGTTCAGACGATTTTCTCCAAAACTGGTATGACGCTATCCTTCTGGTCAAAATCGTGGCCCTGAAAGGTATAGTTTGATTGTTTGGATACTTTACATGAAGCCTTAACGACATTTTCGAAATTTCTCAAAAATGCTCCACATATCTTTATTACAAATTTCCTCATACGAAGGAAAGAACGATTAATTGCGCATATCTCATTTTCCTAGGACACCCTGCCTACAATATACAAGTAATAATGTAATCATTAATAAAGTATGTTGTTTTAAGACATCTTTAAAAAAGGGATTGTAAAAATTTTCCAAACTAAATGAATATTTTGCGCGTAATTTGGAGAAAAATATATGTTATTTTTAAATAGTTCTTTTTTTCGGGTCGCCCAAAGGTCGCTTAAAAATGGCGCACATCTCATTTTAGGTGAACACTATGGATTACAGAAAATTGCAACAGTTACAACGAATAAGCGATGATGTGAGCCATTGTAGCACTACTTGTTTCTAAACACGACCATCAATAAATAACCGTGTATACTTCATTTGCTAATATATGACAATTATATTTGTACTCGTAGTTAAGATTTACTTATTATTTAATATCTCGCTCGATAATTTTCATGGTCTTCGTTTTTAAGTACTACGTATAAAATTCTCTGAAAAGTGTGTTTTCAGAGCAGGAAGAATTCACAATCGACAAAAAATTCATTTTATACAAAGCTCTTTGAATTTGACTTTCAACTGCTTCGAAAAATCACCAAAGAAAGCGCCACCTCCTGGACGGCTGCGACGGAAGATTTACTCATTGTCAGATTTCCCGGAATACAATTTTTTTTCACATCAGACGCGACGAGCTGCCATTGTTTGAAAATCAGAAGAACCGCGACCATTTTCGTAGCAATCGTGCATAGACCATGGATACGTGACAACAAGACGATATCAGAGACCTCGACATCGTCCCTCTGGGAAGTAACTCCACGAAGAAGCTAAGCATACTCAGAGAAGATCTGTACCAACCCACCCAAATCACTCTCAAACAATTGCCTTTTAGATAACAGTGAGCATATCGATAGACTGAGGAGAGAGAGATATATTGATTTTGCCATACCGATTTTGTAAATTTAAATTTTTTCAATGTCATAAAAGTTCACGCTCGGAAATGTTATATGATAGAGTGGTGTTTAATAGATGGAGTTGTGTTTTATTTAATGGCTTAATAACATTGATATATTTTGTTGATATATTTTATTTATATCGATGTGTTAATTTTGGACATCGATATGTGCCACCATCTGTTGACACCATTTGCTTATTGTTCCGATAAAAACAGATTGTAAATTATGCAGAAAATAAATAAAATCTTGCAGAGAAGGTAAGCAATTCGCGTATTGGGCGCATTTAAAGTTGGTGTAACCTTGGCAGCAAGCAATTATCTTGTAGTTTCTTTGAACCGGAGAAGCGGAGCGAAAAGGCAGAAAGCATGAATGACAGAAAATTCGTAAGGAGGACGTTTATTTTCGTTCAGACAGAGGAGACCATGACAATCACTTCAATACTCTTTGATTCGTACGGCAAAGTAATAATCTTTGTCAATTACGTGTCTTTTTTTTCAGAACTCTCTCGTATGATGAGATCACAGAAGGCGATGCATAAAACTTCTCGTCGCAGTTTCTGCTAATCCTCTCTCAATCACCTACGCCATATTTCGCAGCCTTAACAATATCTCTTACTCTCGCTGCAGCATTGTCCGAGAATTCTGCCACGAAACATTTTTCTGCAGCCTACACTGTTCCGTGACTGAGTGTACATATAGGGCACACCGCAGTCAACTTTTCCTAAGTCGTTTACCTTCCTTACGAAAGAGACATAGTCCGACTCCATACCGTTCTGTTTTCCTTCTAAGTATGATTGATTTAGATTTTTTTCCCGTTGTATGCTTAGAATCATATTGATCGATTATATCATTATGAT